CTTGGTGGAGCCCCGGTTGGGGGCCCTACCCTGCCTGGGGAGTGGTGGGTGGATGGGGTGGGGGGTAGGTTGGAGGTGGGGGAGAAGGAATGGGGGTGAAGGGAGGGAGAGGGAGAGGGGAATTATATGTGAAACAAGCCTGTTCCCTAACTTGAATTAATAATAATCATAATAATAAAAAACAATAAATTCTTCTATCAACACATGTATAGTGATATTAGAAATCATGCTTAAAATTTACCTGTGAACTAATGGGCCTTCACGTGTTGCCTTCATATGATATTTACATAATCTTACTAATAGTTAAAGATAAGGTCTGACATAAATAAAATTTCATGAAAATTCTTGGGACATATTTTAAAGGTTATTACAGATTCAGTTTTTTAAATTTCATTGTAGAAATTATGTAAAAAGTATGCTTATATTTAAACAAAATTTCTATCAAAGATAAATTTGAAATATTCTTTAAGATATCTAATATTATCCCTGGGTTGGGGAGCCAGATGTCTACAAAAGAAATATCTAAAAATGCACTTGGCCTCTCCTTTCCCCCTTTGCCTAGACCACCCTGATCAGATTATAGAAAGGAAGAGGAGAACTTTATCCTATATAAAAAATGCTGTCCCAGGATCCTGAGTCTGCCTTTGAGCTATTTCTTCAATCTCAGGCCAAAGGACAGAAACTGTTGGGGGGGCGGCAATCAGTATTAAAACTATAATAAAAGTTTTAGACTTTAAAATTGTCTATTGTTTAATGATATAGCCATACAGAATTGGCCACATAACTATCAATGGGTCAGCTGGAATATTTAGTGCCACTGACTCCTAGGACATGGTTACAGAAAACACTAAAGCTGTCACTACTTACATTCATTAGAAAACACATTAATATCCAAACAGGCTCTTACAGCAAATCACATTCAGTTCCACAGGAGGGATCACTGCACATGATTTTAAGCCTTGTGAATAACTGGTAGTGGAAACCTTGCCATCACTGTCTCTCACGTAATGAAAATCTTACCTGCTGCTCTAATTCTCCAACTGTGTCACCTGCAGGAGAGCTCACTATTTCTTTACTCATCAACTAGGAAATTAAAATAGCAAAGTTAAGTACAATAGTGCAATGTTTATAAAAATCTATTTACTTAAAGTATTATAAATTGGTTTATATTTAACTTCTTTTTTTGCCTTAATTCAATGATCCTTAGAACACTAATCAGATAAAAACTTCATTAGAGGTATAACCAAGTAAGAACATTCAAGCATATTAATGATAAGATTAAGAATAAAGTACAATTCAAGTTTTAGGAGACATATTACTGACTATAAACACAAATGTGTTTTTAAATAGGGGATGCTTTCATTTCTTTTATCTTGTTCTTATCTAGTCCGGGTTCTCATAATTCTTTTTCTAGTCCGGGTTCTCATAAGGTAGACTAAGCTGGTTTCAACCTTGTGATCCTCCTTCAGGAGCAAGGACTCCAGTGTGTACCATCATGACCCTCTTAAAAAAATGACTTATATGTCATAATTTATCACTTTTCACCCAAGATTTATAACTGGATTAAGAGTCAATAGCAACCCCAAGAATTTGATATCCTTCTAGTATGTCTGATACAATCATAAACTTACATTCAGGCTACCTGATGCCAAAATCTAAGTGTTCACAAGTCTAAAGTTCTAAGTACACATGATATAGACACACTAGATCATTGGTTCTCAACCTTCCTAATGCTGTAGCCCTTTAATCCAGTTCTTCATGCTATAGTGACCCACAACCATAAATTTTCATTTCTACTTCACAATTGTAATTTTTCTACTGTTATGAATTGTAACGTAAATATCTGTGTTTTCCAGTAGTCTCAGGCAACCCCAAGGGGTCATGACCCACAGGTTGAGAACCACTGCACTAATGTCAGGAACTTTAATAGCTGGGAAGAGGAAATGGAATGTCCCACATGCACTAGGTTTGATTATTTTGCTTTTATTAATAGAAGGTATTGAAGAACTTTAAGAGACTGGAGATTTAGATCCATGGAAGAGAATCTGCCTAGCAATCACAAGACACTAGACACTGGGTTCGTGCTGAGCACCAAATTAAAGTAAAAGCTTTTAGAATTAGGGGGTCTAACACTGAGCTTGAAGGCTTTTAACATTTTTTTTTTAATTTTAAACATTTGCTTTATTGAACTTTAATGTTAAGTTGCAAGTAAGCAGAATGTTTGCAAAAAGGAACAATTGTTTTCCAAAATACAATGAAACGGTGAAACTAATACATTTTTTAATTGTTAAATATTTACACAGTTTTACATAATTTGGCTCAGGGTTTTCATACTCAGGTAAGTGGAGTGTCACTTACCTCCTGAATTGCAGTCATGACCACATGCTGAACAGATTCTTCCAGGGTCATTATAGTTTTAATATGCTCTATAAATAAAAAATATAAATTTGATATAAAATTTCTCCTATACAACTTCTTAACTACTCAATAACAGAAGTGTGGAAGTTAATTTACCATAAATGACCCTTCATACAAATACACTAATTCACTAACATGTCCATTAAAAACAAGATAAAAACTTTCAACTTTATTAATTTAAATCTTTTAGCCAAAAAGAAACCCTTTAATTTTTCCAAGTAAAAGAAAAGATACTACAAGTAATATATTAAGACAATTGATAATAACTGTCCAATTTTAGATCCAAAAACTGCTGTTGTACCATCTGCTTCCAGGAAGTCTTTCAAAGGTATGTATGCAGCCTCCTGCAACACCTGCTTGGCATCCAATAATTCTCACATTTAAAGCTTTCCACAAACATGAAATGAGGAACTTATATAATACCTTAGATATGTGCAGACTTAAGTCTACTCCAACTGTATGTTCCTTTACCCAACTATTGCCCTCAAAGTTATCCAATACTTTTGTGTTCTACTGATTTTTCTAGACGCTCCTGTAAGTTGTCTAAATCCTTTTTATTTGTAATACTGAGAGTCTGAACGGTTATGGTATGCACTTGACCACTAAATGCTGAGGAGAGAAAGATTTAACTGAAGAATGTACCAAAGACATAATGGGGCCTATACTGCCATCTGGGGCATCCTAGACCTGGCTGCTCCAAAGGAGTCAGTGATACTACTGCAGGTGGGGTCTGAGTCAGTGTCAGTGATACTACTGCAGGTGGGGTCTGTGTTGCCACCAATGGTCACACAGAATTCCAGGGTTTGGGCCGAAACCTGTGGTTTGTTGGCATCCGGAGTCATGACACAGAGGGAAAGCTGATCCTAATGGCTTGGGTGTAGGGGATCTGGCTACCCACCCTCACCTGAAGCAGGTAGCTCCAGTGGTCCAGATTGACCAGCTCAGCTATCATCCAGGCCCACAGCTGTGCCTTGGATTGGCCCACCCTAACATCTACCTGCAGGAGCTTGTGAAGGACTGGACCTGTGGAATGACACCAACAGGATCTCCATGACATGGGCAGCTGTGGGATATCCCAGAGGAATTTCGGTGAGGGACCAGTGATGATGGAGTACCAGAAACCAGATAACAAGACCAGTGACTCATTGCAATGAACATTTGCTAGTAAAGCTGATTGGACATAAAGGTACTAAGTGACACACCACTCCCAATTCTAACAGGAGAGGCAGGAAAATGGAAAATCTAAAATTTTTTTGGTTTGTTTTGTTCTTGTTTTTTGCTTGTTTGCTTTGTTTTGTTTAATTTTCTTTTGGAGGGCACTACAGAAGTGAGAAGAGGATATGGGGGGACTGGGAGGTGAGTGGAGTTAGGGCAGAAGATGTGAAAGTCCCAAAGAATCAATAAAAGAAATTGTGTTAAAAAATCAATAATAATCAAGCCAATCCTCACTTCAAAGCATAAAAGTGTGGAAGCTGTTTTATAACCTTAAATTTAAGGGTTTTATTTTTTGTAATTTTTTTTCCTATTTTCATTCCTTCTGCAGCTCTGAGGATGGAATCCAGGGCTCTGCATATGACACATGAGAGTTCTACTACTAAGCCACATTCTCAACCCACTGGTAGTTTTTATTTAACTATTCAAACCTAATTGTTAACCCAGACACATATGCTGAAAGTGAAACTGTTTTTTTTTATATATATATACTGCCTATTAAACTATCACTTATATCTCCAGGAACTGAATTTCCTTTCAAAACTATAAAATACAAGAGTACTTAATAATGCTTAGGTCTAAATTATGAATGAGATAGTATATTAAAATTTGCAAGATGCAACAAAATCATCAACACCAGAGAAAATTGTAGATCAAATAGTCAATCATGGCTTATAATAGAAGCATGATAAATTTACAAGAAAATGGAAGAATGAAATATTACAAATTAAATAATATTGAAATGAAATTGAATCAAAGCCAAATGTTACTTCTCTGAAAATGAATAGTATCTGAAACCCTGGAAACATAAATTGGCACAAATATGCTATAAATAACCAGAAACTAAAATAAAAGTGTTAAAGAATAAAAAGAACAAAACTGCAACAAAAAGTACTAGATTTAAACCTGAAATTCCTTGTCAAGTTATGGATAGCCAGGGACATTTTATCTGTATGAGAAAAAAATTTTAGTTTTTTCAAAAATACTACAACATTTAGATCTTTAATGTTCCTGGCTAAATATAGAAAAAGCAATTACTTGCCCTCTGAAAAGGTAGCTAATAAATATAGACACTGAAGTAGGAACATATTATATTGTACATCCTATAAACTATATTTGATTTCATGTTACTTTATATTACTTGAGCTTGTACTTACTGAATTTATCTGTCCTGTATCCTTTCTTGAACATGAAGAAATTTTTATGAAGGAGGTGCACTTCATAAAGACCAAGCTTTGGTCAAACCATAGAGAAGTGTCAAAGCTCTTCGCACCCAAGATACACAAGCCCCCACTGAGAAGGAGACTCAAGTCTACTCAGTTTTATGACATTTTACGTATAGTAGTACATAGATTACTATGCTTATATATACCAGTGTAATATACCAGTTCCATTAATATGTGCACTGCTCCACTTCTCAAAAGAAAACAGTGGACAGGTTACTTCTAAACAGAGCAGGTATTATTTGAAAAAGTTTCGATTATCATTTATTAGCTGAATATTTTATTTTGAAAAAATAAATGTACCTAAAATTCTTATTGACTACCCAATGTGTCCTAAACACCAGATATTAAAGTATATGAACTAGATACTTAATTTAGCCACTGACCACCAGAATAGAGGACACTCAAGAGCTGCAGCATGATTAATGACAGAATTTAGAACTAGTTTATTGCTGGGTAATTTCAGCCACACAGCAGTAGGAACATAACAACTTCCTGCACATATAACACTGAGCAATAGCAAAGTAGAGTGTTTCTAGAAAGCAGGAACCTCAAAAGTGACTAAAACTTGCTTACCTTGCTTCCTTTCACAATTGACTGCACAACCTAAAATAAGCTGAAGCAACCTCCCAAGTTCCACGGGGTCTGAACATTCAGTTATTTGGTTTAAATCAGGGATAAGTTCTTCAGAAATCTGCTGCCCTAAAAACTGAAGAATCAAAATAATAAATTAGATCACTCAGTTAAGTAGGCTACAAAGAATGTACATTATTATTTAAAGAAAAATTAATTTAAAATAAATTCATGAAGAACTTAAATAAATTCAGAAATCACAAGTCAGTAATAGTGACTGAAACAAAGTTAGCAATATTCGGACACCTTCTCAATATTCAGAGTCAATTGTATTTGATTTTTATTTGGCCTCAGTATCAGAAAAACAAATGCTTTCCCTGTAAGTAGTAAACAGGACTATGCGCTCCCAAAATATATTTATAAAAGCAAATTATTTAGACAACCTGAAGAGAAGTCAGACTAAGGAATATCTGTACTAGTATGTATCACTTAGAGTCACAACATAAATCACTGCCCTTTCACTAATGAACAACAAATCCAATGGATTTGTCTGTCCCAAATTTTCTTGAAGCTTATTAAGAAGTTTCTAAATATCTAGGTTATAGAGCACCCAGAAAATTCTCACAGCAGCATTAAAACTTTCCCAAAAACCTTTCTATTTCTTTGCCAAAAAAAGAAGAAAAATTCTTAACAAAATCATTCAAAGGCTACCAATTATTATACAATGAATTCTATTTGTAAAAATAATTTAGAGTATCAAAATTAAAACTATCTTTTCTTTTTTGGAAACCCAAAGCATTTAAGCTTTAAACATCTCATTTTTCACAAAAATTCTGAGTGTTCTAAAATAGCAACATAATTATTACAATTATGAGTTTCATTCTAATACAGCACTATAACCAAGAAATCAAGCAACAGGAATTTTTGTTTAAAATCAGGTATTTCTTGTACCTCATGATAATAACTTGTAATTCCATGGAGGACCTTCTTTAAGTTACTTGCCTAAAGTAGAACAGAAAGAAGAAATAAATGCTTGTTTCATGTTAATAATGAAAGACATACACAAAGGTGAGAGACAATCACTTTCCCAATAAAAAATTAGCAACTTCCTCACCAAGAAGAGAGAAAAATGTGTAATAAATATAATAAAAATAATTCAAAATACTTATGAAAGTATCGGGACTGATAAGAACTGAATTTATTATTATTGGAACTGAAAAGAAAATTCATAATTATCAGTGGAGACTTAAGGTTCTTCCTTACCTAACTGAAGGGAAAATTAAACAGGACATACACAAAATATACACTACACTATCAACAAATTTGGCACAAACCACATTTAAAGAATAAATGAAGATATATACTGCTTTCAGGTGCACTTGGAGCATTCACTAAGACACAACATATGAGAAAGCAAGGCTGACAATTGTCCCAAGAACTCATAAAAGGTGGGAAAGGAGATCAAACTTGACAAACTTGTTCTCTGACCTCCACACACATGATGTAGGATGTGGACACTCCATACACACAACATATGCACAATAATAACAAAATATTTTATAATGTATGAAATGTGTAAAGCAGTGTTTAATATTAGGACAAAAAAACATACCTAACATTTATTATTTAAACTTCCTCAAGAAGCAAGATAAAGAATATGTGTAAACAGAAAAAAAAAGAGAATCCAATGAGGAAATCATTTTTAAAATATAAAATATAAAACGGAAAATTGTATGCTAGATGTAAGGGAAAAATACAAAAATTTTCAACATTAGCAAAGAATGGTAAGACATCATTTACAGATCATGTGTATGGGCTGAAGAAAAGGCTCAGTGATTAAGAACACTGGTTACTCTTCCAGAGGATCTAGATTCGATTCCCAGCATCCATATGACTGCTTAAAACTGGTTATAGCCCCAGTTCCAGGAGACTTGATGCTCTCTTCTCACCTCTGCATACACAAAGCATGCACATGGTACCCACACATGCAGACAAAACACTCATAAATATAAAATAGTAAATAATTTTAAAAGACTTTATATCTACATGCATAAGTTCATTGTTTATTCATATATTTATATTATATATTCATATATGTATTTATATATTCATTAGCATAGTATTACAGTAGTACTGTTAAAAACTATGAAACAAATTAGACATCCTTTATGGAACAAACACATGCCCCACAAGATACAAGAAAACCAACAGAAGCAAAAGGGATTTAAAAATATAAAATCATTTGCAGATTTTTATAAAGGTAAACATATATATATATATATATATATATATACATGTAAATACACACACATATATATACATAAATGTGTACACACATACATATATATACATAAACATGTACATACACACGCACACACAATTCAGCAATTCCATCAAGGAATTTTACCCTAAAGAAATTAAGTCTAAAGCTGGGCGTTGGTGGCGCATGCCTTTAATCCCAGCACTCTAGAGGCAGAGGCAGGCGGATCTCTGTGAGTTCGAGGACAGCCAGGTCTCTAGAGTGAGTGCTAGGATAGGCTCCAAAGCTACACAGAGAAACCCTGTCTCGAAAAACCAAAACAAAAGAAAGAAATTAAGTCTAAGAAAGGATTCACCACAGCCTAAACTAGAAATAACTCAAATATCCCACCAGGTGAATAGTTAAATAAAAATGGCATATCAATGTACTACCCAACAATAAAGAGGTAATAATTAACACAAGCAATAAAGATGAATCTCAAAATTATTATACTGAGTAAATGAAGTCTACATACACAAACAGTACACACTGTTTGGTTACATTTATACAGAAATCTAGACATGAGAACTCAAGTAACCCAAAGCAGACCTACAGACATCAGAAGCTGATCACTGGGTGAACATTAACTGAATAAGAGACCAAAGTATATGTTCTTGGATGGTAGAAAAGCTCTGTAAATAAACAATGGTATTTATCTATGGGCAAACTCAGGTGTTTAATTACTTTCTTATTGTGTGAAAACACAATGGCCAAAAGCAAGTTGGGGAAGAAAGAATTTATTTGGTTTATAAGTCCTAATCACAATCAATTACTGAGAGAAATCAGGGCAAGAACTCAAGCAGCAGGAGAGACAGAAAGCTTGGAGGATAGCTGCTTAATGACTTGCTTTCAGGTTCACATCCATTCAGCCTGCTTTCTTAAACCTCCCAGGACCACCTACCCAGGTGTGGCACTGCCCACAATGGGCTGGACCCTCCCACATCAACCAACAATCAAAAAAACAAACAAACAAACAAAAAACATGCTTACAGGTCAATCTGATGGAAGTGTTTCCATTTCAATTGAGGTTCTGTCCTTTAAGGTAACTCTAGTTTGGGTCAAGCTGATAAAAACTGACCAGCACAGTATGTGTTAGTTCAAACTGAAATATGCACTCATGAATTAACTTTTTAAAAGGCACTGAGTTAACTTTAAAAAGCTGGGTGGATTAAGTGCGTGCACTTAATCCCAGTATTTGGGAGGCAAAGGCAGGCGGATCTCTGTGAGTTCAAGGCCAGCCTTGTATACAAAGTCAGTTTCAGGACAGGCTCCAAAGCAATACTGAGAAACCCTGTCTTGAAAAAGCAAAACAAACAAACAAACAAAGCACTGAGTTGAGTTCAGTACTACTGTTATGAGCTACTTGCATCATGTGTGCCCCACACCCAACAATCCATTTCTGCATACCTTTATTCTCCAGTTGTCTCCAACATCATCTTTAATTCGGCTTAACCAAGATTCACTGAACCAGGCTACATCACTAAAACAAAAATATACAAGCCAAACTTTAAAATGTTTTTGTAACATGAAAAACAAAACCGAATCAAGGTAAGTATTTATAGTTGAAAATCTATCTTTAGTGAGATTAGCAATAATTAAATGAAACCACTAAAATTTTGGGATTCCAAAAATTTAATTTGGAATTTCCTTCCCATATTGTTAAGTCACTAACAATTAAACAAGCACTTACTAAACATTCTTCACTAGGCATTCTGCTACTAAGTCTGAAGAAGTACAAAGAAATCCAATACTCTGAAGTGTCTACTTCATATAGAATGCTCATTCTGTGTGAGCTATTACTTCATTTAAATACCATAGTAACTTGGCAATGGATATGCCAAGTTTGAAACAAATTACTCTGCCCCCTCCTCTTTAGGGAACAGAGTAATTTGTTTCAAATGACACTGGTAAATAGCAAAACACCAAATAAATTAGTTTATTGGGTATGGTTAATTAAGAAATCTACAAAGTTAAACACGAAAGAAAACTTGTTTTCATTAGAAATAAATTCTTGTTTTGATATTGAAGATTGAGACAAATAATTGTCATACAAAAATGTTATAAATTTAATGAGATTTTGAACATGCTACACATACAAAGCATATGAACAGACTATGTTCTAACTATTTGGATGCCTTGTCTAAGAGTTTGAACAAGATCAATATAAAAACTGATTACATACTGACTTTTAGAGAAATAGCTATTAAAGGAAGTAAAGAGCACAAATAACTGAAAGATGTGATAGACACTGAGACCTAAGTCACCTTTGACCCCTTCACAAGGCCTCAGGAGACAAGGGGACTTGTACTTTACAGATAAAATAATATGGAGTAGGGGGCTCTTTCCCAGGCCAGATCTTGAAGCAAAATAATAAATAAAAATAAACAGAGGAGCAGGAAAAAGACACCGAAAGCAGGACACACTGTACTTTGAGGACTCAAGATTTCTCTGCTCCAGCTGTTCTGGTACAGAGGGAGTCATTCTTGCTGGGGAAGCAAAATATTTATTTTCAATTCATTTACTTAAGAGTTTCTAACTGTCCATCTTCTCCTGGTTGCTAAGATTACAATTACAAAACAATGTGACTGAGTGCATGCTGCTAGCCAGATGTTTATCCAAAATGATTTAATGAGTCAAACTTGTCAAAAATTAAGGTACTTTCTTTTAATATCAGATTAAGTAATATAATGTCCCAGGAATGGCAGGTGTGATGGGTAACTGTTAACTTTTTTGGGTCACAATACCGACATTTGGCCAATCACATCTAATTGCTACTGCAGTGACACTTCCAGATACATTTTAGGCAACCAGATAAGGAGAGCAGACCACTTTCAGGAGAGTGAGTGGACCTCACCCAGTCATGCAAAGGCCTGAGGAGGAAGACAGACCCTGTAGGAAAGAATGATCTTAACAGCAGACTGCCTCAGACTCTGGTTCTGCAGTCTGGTTCTGCTGGCCTATTCTGCTCAGCAAGACTGTACAGGAAATGAACCAGTCCCCTAAAATAAACATGTGCACCCTCATACACACCCCACTTTTGGTACTGCTATTCTGCAGCCCTGACTGTTTTACCAATCTCTTCCCTGACCTTCCCAGCAAAAATAATCTAAGTTTAGGATTCTATACTGTTAATTACCTTCAGAGTAACCTATTTTCATTATCTATTTCTTCCGCAATTCCTTTTTTCTTAAAACTTTCTTGTGTTTCTTTCCATTCCTAAGCCATTTTAATTCTTAGAAGTACTTTCTTCTTTCTCCTTAATAACCTAGTTCCTACCTTCTTACAAGCAAATTCACCCTTCTGTAACAACTAACATTGGGCTAGTCTTCCCACCAGTTAAACCTGATACTCAACCTTAGACATTTTCTATTTTTTTTTTGCACTGGCACATCATCTATATGATTTAATGTAGGTTTTTTTGTTTGTTTTTACATTTATCAGAACTTAAATGACATCAAAAAGTTAAGGAAAGGAGTTAATGAAGAAAATAACAATCTAATTATTTTCTAATAAAAACTAACCAAAAATCATTACCTTATGTTTAATTCCATCCAATATATGTCCTAGCAGCTAACTTGAGGGAATAATTATATTTCTACTTACTAATAAAAATTATACTGCCTTCAATTGATACCCCAAGAATACTGGTGAATAAAACTCTATCGGAAGGATTCAATGTACTGGATTTCTACTGTTACTGCTGAATAAAAACACTGGCTTTGGAAATCAGATTAAACTAATTCAAATTCTAGCCTTAGAATTTATTCACTGTTTGGCTTCTAAAAGCAGCTCTCTAAACTGTTGGTCCTCACGGTTAAACTGGACGTAAAATGTACAGTTTATAAAGAAAAAAATTTAAATGAGTGCTGGGAAGATAGCTCATATGCATAAACATATGTGCTTGAATTCAGATCTGTGGCACCCATGTGTAGGGAGACACTGTAGCCCAACCTTCTAGTAGCCCCTACAGGTGTGCCTGGCCACGCCCATGAGGGCATGGTCAGGGGAGGTCGAAGATGACTGGGAAGAATTCTTAAGAGGCCACGAACATGTGGATGCCTCTTCTCTCTGGCCACACTAGCTTGCGGCCTCTGGGCACGCTCTGGCTTACATTTGGGCTGGTGTTTATCTGAATAAAGAAATCTTAGAATTACGGCCTACGGATCATCTTTGAGCACACACAATACCTATGTAAAACCTGAGTTCAACAGTACATGTCTATAACCCCAGGACTGGCTGTTAAGTGGGGCAAAGACAGGCAGATCCAGCGAACTCACTGCCAACAAGGATAGCCAAAATGGTGAGCTCCAGGTCAGTCAGAGACTAGCCTGTTTCAAAAAATAAGGTAGAGAATGATAAAGGAAAATACCCAATATCAACCCCTTGGTTACAAAAGCACACCACACACACACACACACACACACACACACACACACACACACCCATATACTGGGATTTATAATTATATATTTAGTAAATACTCAGATGTTGACTATCATGGTTTAACTGCTCAAATACCTGCAAATCAAAAAATGAATTGTGATTACCACCTGAACCACATTTTTCAAAACTACATGTTTCAGTTTTAACTTTGTGTCTATAAATGAGACGTTATTTGGAAACAATTGTCAAAATCGACCAAGGCAGGAAGGAATCCTATTGATTTAATGGCACCGTAAGGCTGGTGCCATTAAAATAGAACAGGCAAGCGGCAAACAAAGGGAAACTAAGCAGAGGCACAGTGTCCCTAGAAATGCCCAGACTACCACAAAGTGGAAAAGGCAAGGAAGATCATCTCTCTGAAGCTTTGGAATAGGATAGTCCCGTCCCCCCCCCAACAGTTTGATTTAGTCTTCTAACTATAAGAACTGTAAGAGAATAGAGTTTTGTTGTATTAAGCTACACAGCCTATAGCACTGTTATAGCAATCCTAGAAAACTAACACAGTTGCAGGTATATTTTTCCAAAAGCACAACTTTTTCCCCACAACTGCATCTTCCACACTTATTTTTAAAGGAGATGCACATATTAAAAATCCAAGCTAAAGATAGGGAACTACAAACCTATCACTAAGTCCATGACTACCTATGGCTAATCTTACAGCTTAGACAACTTTTTAGGATCTTATTATATAAACACATACCTGCCTCAGTAAAAATGGTTATCTAAAATGTGGCCTTTTCTTTAAAAAGCAGAATTAATCTTCTTACCTCTATTAACAATTTCCATGTGATTTGATACGAATCACCAGTAAAATTTATTATAAATGTTAATGTATACAGTACATTGAAACAGTCAAAGAAATTATAATGAAATTGGTCTTTTTATTAGGACTATGACACTTTGATCCAAATAAGCAAAAATGTATTTTTGGAAGTCTTACTGACCCACGTAGAGACTTCTAGAAAAGCTTTAAAAATAAAATGTTACTTAGATGATAAGGTGCTTCAGACATCAAAGGGTACAATGAAACAGTCAAACCTAAGTGGTGGGGATGTTAGGGGGACAGGCAGACAGACTGGCTTGAACCTATAAACCTTTCTTATTAGCTAGCCTATTTTATTTTCCCTGCAAAATAAAAGCTATTGGAAAACAATAACCCGTATACAAACAAGGAGAGAGACAGACAGAGTAAAAATCTGACCATAGGAAAGAAAGCTGCGAGGACACCAGACATCATTTAGACAAAAGGTACCTGGTGCTACTCCAAGCAGTGCTGGCAAATCTGGGACATTAAACAGTCACACACAACACACCAAGGCAAGACCATATAGCATTAAGCTCAAGCAGAAATTATGTCTTTGGCAAAGTATGGTATCTTCTATCTATAACGCTAGCAGTTATAAGTTGAAGCAGGAGGACTGCTCTAAGTTTGAGGCAGCCTGAACTACACAGTAAGTTCCAGACCAGTCTAGATTAGAGTGAAACTCTGAAAAAGAAAAAAAGAAAAAAAAGAAAAAACAGGCCAGATTTAGGGGCCAATGTCTTCATATTACTGTTAAGTAAATGAATGGATGGCCATCTTTTATTCATACCAGCCAAAAGTATCAGAAGGAAATCAGCAAGATGCACATGCTATATCATCAAGCAATGATGGCATCCTCAAATCAAAAAGTACATCTTGTATTTTGTCACAAAGTGAATCTCAACAACAACAACAAAAAAAATCAGAATAACCTCATGTATCTTGTTAGATTACTATGGAATAAAGTTAGAATTCAACAAGAACACAAATGACAGAAAGCCTACAGACTCATGGAAAGTGGACAACTCTCAAATGAATTACCCCTGGGTCAAGGAAGAAATAAGAAAGAAATCAAAGACTCCTTCAATTAAATTCAAATGAATACACAACATACCCCAACTTATGGGACATGATGAAGCAGTGCTAAGAGGAAAGTTCACAGCACTAAGTGCCCACATAAAGAATTTGGAGCAATCTCACACTAGGGACTTAACAACACAGTTGAAAGCTCTAAA